AAAAAAAAGGACCGTGGGTCAGAAAAAAAGGATGGGTCACGGAATGCTGGGGAGTCAAAAAAGAATGGTTGCGGGTCAAAAAAGAAGGGTTGGGGGTCAGAAAAGAAGGCCTGTGGGTCAGAAAAGAAGGGTTGTGGGTCAGAAAAGAAGGGTTGTGGGTCAGAAAAGAAGGGTTGTGGGTCAGAAAAAAAGGGGGGGTCAGAAAAAAAGGGTGCGCGGGTCAAAAAAAAAGGGAGCCCATTATAGAATGGTTTCCCAAAACATCCAACACATGTTTCGAGGGGATGTCCCTTTTTCATCCTTATTCCATCTATTCTGGGGTCGCTATGGTCTTCTTCTACAGCCCAATTCCTTTTTGTGCGACAAGAAGGTCGTCTCTGACATCCTCTGAGATAGGCTGGATGCAACCTATGAGATAGGCTGGCAGAGTTTGATGAAGAATGTGTCATCTACGATGTGTCATCTACAGTACAAACAAGTTCGGATGGGTCACTCGTCGTCTCCCCGGTTCGGATGGGCCACTGAACGAATGGGCTTCCAGCTCTGAAACGAGAACAACACAAGCACATCCTGTCCAAGCAGCCATTGGCCCAAAGGCCATAGTAAAGAGTGAAGAGACAGAAGGGCATCAAGAACCTGGTCGCAGGTGTAGCGGTGTAGATGTGTCATGGCGAGCATTGTGCATTCAAGAAAGACCCATGCCACCATATCTACACCTCTCCTGAAACCAGCTGTTGCCGGTCTCTAATCCGAGACCGGGTGAGTGGTTGTGTAGCTGAGGGGCAAAAAGTAGCCGATCCAAATCGTCATCCACAAGCGCGAGATGGTGTTAAAGATCTGAGGTCCTTTCACCTGCGCGGTCAACGAGTCCACGGTCGACTCAAGATCAGGCCGATCAAAGATGCGACATGGGAAAGCGGTAGCTTTTTTCACGTGGGTGCCATGAAAAAGGAGAATTGGCTGCGGGGCATGTCTACTAATTTTGCTGAACTGTCCGTGTTGTTGAGTGACAAGACCTGGAGATCAGCCCTTCCTGAGGTCACCATGTGGCCTTTTCGGGTCTTTGACATCACTTTGTTGATCTTTGTCGTAAAGATAGGTATAGTAGAGGTGCAAAGAGCTTGTGAAGGAGACAGTCAACCCATCTCCACCCACTAATGAAGCCTCATCTGTTCAAATCCTCACTTGCATCGGCGCCCCATTGAGCGAGCTAACCTGCCCCCCCCCGCACACAAGCATGTGACGGAAACACAACCCCTGGCCCCGTTGGGGGACTTCATCGTCACCCTTTCAGCTTCTCACCAGCCCAGCGTGCCGAAAAGACGTCGAAGATGGAATCCAGGCCAGAACTCAACTTCGAAACCTCAGATGTTGGGCACCGGCCGCACCGGACCATCGAAGCAACGAGTCGGGTGTCGGTGCCAAGAGACTGCTGGAATCGTTGGGTCGGTGCCAAGCAAAAGGGTCGATGCTAGGAATCATCCTACTGTATTTGGTGGTTCACTGAGGGGTATCCCCTCTATTGATCAAGCAACCCATAGCAAGTTTGGCCATCTACAATCTACAATCATCTTTATTTGGTGTTAAGTGGAGGATGTGAAAAGAGCCAAAGAACTCTGCAGTTTTGTCGCTTCGCAAAGTTCTTAGGGGGTCGCCCACTGCAGATTGCTCGGCTGCCTCTTTAACCAATCCCTCTTTTCAACCTTGCTATTTTTTGTTGGCCACGAAAGCTTCAGACGCTGCAATCCCCACACCTGTGACCATATTGAAATCAAACAGTGCCACAAACAGACCAGTGTTGCAGAGAGGGCACTACGGCTCTGCACCGCTTCCGTTGAAACTGAGGCGCTTCATTTCGAGCATCTTTCAGGGTGTGCACCGCTTGAGGCAGAAGATTGGCAAAGGTCCGGAGGAGGTTCACCATGCCTCGACGGTCGGAGGTCGACATCTGATTTGGTGTCTGGAGGTTCAGGAAAACACGAACGTGGAGAGCAACAAATTGCTGTTTAGCTCTCACTCTTGGGGATTGGGGGATTTTCAGGACCTTGTTGGGAATTGTTTTCATCTGGCAAACAAGCTGAAGGACTTGCAAACAATTGTGCTGCTAAAAGTTAAAACTGCAGTGCAGTGCAGATCTGAAAACTTTGTGCAGATCTGATTGAAGCTTTGTCAGAGCAAAATTGAACTCTGCAGGCCTAAAGACACGTCGCAAGGTCAACTAGCCTGCACCGCCATCGCCACTGAACAGAATAGATCTTTATGGTGCCTCTGGTGTCCAAAAAGGCGTTCCATCTCACCCTGTACCCCATCTCTTCGGTGCCCCCAGGGTCCATCTCTTCGGTCACTCACTGAGCTCCCCAACTGTGCCAGGCCCCCGAGATCGCGTCGCCAATGTCCTGTTGCCCCTGAGCCTCCTCGGGTCGAGGCTTCGGCGCCGAAGCGGCCGTTTCGGACGGCCGGTTCTGAACCGCGGAGGACGCGAAACCAGGGACCCGTTTCGAAGCACTCTGCTGTATCACCCCTCACATGTTGGATTCAGTGTCACTGGCACTTGGGTGCGATGTCGGATGTCATTGTGCTGAATCTTCAGAGTGATGTCCTCGAGTTTTTCAAGGGATCTGAGTCTGAGGGAAATGTTCATTATCACGAAGAGGTTGAGAGATGCCACTCTGGAGCTACGCATGGAGATGGCAAATGCAGCGGGATGCTGTGGCTTGCTGTCTAAACGCGCAGAGTGTTAGCAAGGTATATAATGAGTGTTGAACCAAAGACTTTCTGGGCCGAATAATCAATTCCTACCTTCTTTTGCAACCACCTACTGAAAACCAAGCAACCAAGCCCATGCAGAACACTTTGTATACGGTAATCTACAATTATGTGCTGTATGATATTATGTGGTTCTGACTCCGACTCCTACTGTCAAGGTAGACACAACTGAACCAAACTAAACCTAGCAAAACCATGTCCACCAATCGTGCTCCTGAAGCATCTGCATCACTGCCCTCTCGTGGCGGGTCTTCCGGGGCAGATCGAAGACACTGTCAATGTGGTGATCCTCAGCGCTCATCCAAAACCGGAAGTGCACGGTTTGGTGTCCAAGTGGGGTGGACGTCTTTTGTCCAGGCGGTAGGCCCAAGCTTCTCAGTGAAACACGAAACCCATGAACCCACAAGGTAAGTGAAAACAGTAAACAAATGCCAAAAGCATTCAAAAGCATCCAAAAAGCCTTCAGCTGTCTCAAAAAGATCAACCGACTTGCACACTTGACCTCCTAGTAGTTTCTCCGAGTCACTGGGCCCCATGTGATTCTGAAGCTTCCGTGGTTCTCTCATCACCATTGCCAAACTCGTAACAGAACACAGATCAGGTCAGTGATCCTGAAACATCCCGGTCTACTCTGGCAACGTACTTAGCCATGTCCTACAACTCACATCTGAAAGCCCACGTACAGGTGTCGATTTGTGGAAGCCTTTTCTCTGGAAAAAAGACAGCTCCATCCGAGTCAGCCCAGTGGCCACATGGGATAGCAAGGACACCTGGTCGGCTCTTGGTGGCAGGTCTTCTAGTACGGTCGAATGAAAATTTGGTACTAGACCTGTGACTAGAAGACCTGTGACTACACCAAAACCACTTCTTGGTTTCTGAAAAAGACATGTTTTCCTAAACCTCAAGTGGCTCTGGGCAGGGCACACTGAGGTTTGATAGAGCCCAGTTTTTGAACTTGGGACCTCGGGGGCACCAGGATGTATGGTCGACCAATGGGAGAATCTCCAGAACGAAGTTGCAGGAGTCTTTCCACCAGCATGGGTTTGCATTGATTTTGGTGCGTAGTAGCTTTTGGGCCACTCCGCCAAAGACCCCTCAAAAAAGGACAACTAGACCAAAAAGAACCATGAACTGCGGGGCTCCGTCTTCTTGGAGAACCGCAAAGGTTGGCGGCTCGTGTCCACGTGTCCGTCCCCCCGGCACTCAGTGTCTTTGCGCTGCCTTTCCCCTCGCAGTCCAGAGCCCCACCCGAGAGCGTCTCAAGGCCAATGTGTGACAGTAGCATCGGACTTGAAGAAAATGAACAGTTGAGTCAGTTGAGATGATGCTTAGATCCGATGGATTCACCACACAAAATAAGTCTCAAACGATGTCAAATGATCCTGCCTGGGGTTTGAGCTTGTTGGTCAGTGTCCCAAGCCCTGGCATTGCGGATCACAAGGAGTGCTCTCTAGGAGCGCCGGAACTCATCACAGGATCTATGAATCTCAGAGATCCACCCAGCCACCTTACAGCAATTCTGCAAAAACCTGGAGATGAAAATCTCCCAAAGGATTCCAAAGTGAAGAAGCGTGAACACCGAATCCGAATCCCAGAAGAGGAGAGCTGAGTATCGCCAGTGGATGTCCTAGTCAACTCTGAAAAAATTGGAAAGGGATATCTTGAGAGCAACTTTTGTTCAGGTCTGGGAATCGTTTCAGTTTCACCTGTAGTAACAAGAAGCTACTAGGAGTCTTTGAAGCTACTAGGAACAAGAAACTTTTTAGGTCTTTTTTCTGTCCCCTTTACGATGTTGAGAGTATCTTGGACCGGAACCCAAAACGGCCCAAACCCCGTAGCAAAGTCCGCTGCGATCCAGCCATCTGCCCTTCCCGCGTGCCTTCACCAGCCTTATCCAAAGCCTCATCCACCAGCCCCTCAAGGGCATCTCCTTCGGTTCCGGCCCGCGTTTTCGGCCAATGTCGGTGACATCCAGTGGGTCGAGGAGGGCATGTGAGGCAACATCCACATGAAACAGAACCGTTCTCAGAACCAAATGTTCAATGCCGTTCCGGCGCCCGTCCTAGCTTGGATCCCAGTGTCTTCGCTGTGAGGTTGCTCACCTGGCCCATTTGGTTCGGCATGGAACACAGAGAAATGTCGCTTTGAACTTGACATCCAGCAAACCTTCCTTCCATGTCAGACCCGAGGCTCAAGTCTCCAAGGAATATGTTGAAGAAAAGGCTGACTGGGCAAAGAGGCACTGCGGCACCGAATGCAGACGTTCTGGTCTCTGAATGATCTGTTCGCTATGGTGCCCAAGTTGGCCAACCTTCAGAACCCTGTAAGGAAACCCTTGCACAATACAACAGGCAAGCATCATATTCTGCCATAGAAGCTGTATCCAGCTTCACCACACCCATCTTGGCTACCCGATCGCACCCAGCAACCTGTTCATACACTCCATGCAAAATCTGTCTAAAACATTCTAAAACAAACATCTTTTTGTTGCAGCTCACCCCCTCAGCCATCTGCCAAATGCTCCAGACCTCTCCCCCCAGCGCGTTGCTCAAGGTCTGCCCGATGCCGGCGGCGGTGCTGTTCCCAATGGACTTGGCCAAGATCTCCTGTGGGAACCCTGGGAACCTGCCGAGTTCGAGCGGAGTTGAGTTCGAGCCTGACCGATGTTTCGTTGAAGCTACCGGTTCTATGTGGCTCGAACGATGTCCACTTCTCGGATGGTGGGTAAACCTTTTTATGGTAAACTGCTGAGTTCATGGAGAAGATCAGTCCCTGTGCCTGCTTCGGCGTTCACTTTCGGCCAACCCGCAGCGTGCCGGCCGTGTGCATGCGACCACACCATGCGAGCATGCGCCAACATCCTCCAGAGGTTGTTCCAGTGCATGGATCATCGGATCTGAGATCACTTGCCCAATCCTTAGCGTGTGACATCGTTCGTCGAGGTTGATTCTCTCAGGAAGCCCCAAAGATAGAGTGGCATTTCACAGGTGCTTGGCCATTTCAGCTATCCTGGCTGGAGGCAGTTTCCTTTTCGACAATGCCTCCCAGAGTTCGTATACCGTATCCCATGGTTTCATGGACGTTTCACCCACTCCACCCACTGCGTGGCAGGCGTTCACATTCCCCCTGCTCCCACAACAATCATGCCATTCACCAGAAAAATCACATGGTGTTCTCTGATCTCCACTTAATTGTTTAAAAATTTGAATGTCTTGATCTCGGACAGCTTGATCGAGGCAGCGCTTTCTCGATCAACCTGCCCTCCTCACCCCCATGGCCCCAGCTCTTCTCAAATTTTGTTATAGGTCCGGGCGTAAACCAGGGTAGTCTTCCACCGTTCTAGAGCCAAATCAAGTTCCAGACCAACTCTCTCCGAAACTGATCAAACATGCTTCCACCCCGTCTTTCCCAAACAGACCGCCCAAAACGCTCCGAGTTGCAGAGCTCCGAGCTCCTCCCCTGCGCGGTGCGCTGCCGAATGGATGGCATCATCCAACTGAGGCGCCGCCCTCGGGGACCGGCGCCGACTCCGTGGAACGACGTCGCTCCCGGTCCACGAACGGCGCCGGTCGTTGCTGTCTCGGTCCCCCAGCGTTTGGATGAGACCTGCCAGCTTCTTCTCGATGGTCTTCGAGACATCCTCGAACACTCAGCCATTGGAGGAACAGACTGAAACCTCAGGGTCTTCTCTAAACCACAGTGCAGTGCCTTTCCTTTCTTGAAGCAAAACTAAGGCATCTCTGATCAACCACAACGCGATTCTGTTGATGCTGCGACAAACAGTGAACCCTCAAGGACTCTCTCTTTTGAATAAACAAGAAATTCCTCTCATCAGTTCTTGAGGGTTCCCTGTGAGGCTTAGGAGGGAAGACCCTGAGGGCGTTTACTTTAGGTATATATAAAGACTTTAAGGTGAGGCAACCAGACCTACCTTGCACCTCTTGAGACCCCTGAGACCGCATCTAAGGTTTGTGGACTGACCATTGGTTCACACATCCTGGAGCAGAAAAGCAAGCAGTGGAAACGCTCTTGTTGAAGTTTTGCAAGAAAAACACAGGCCACGATAGTGGGCGTGCTGTTTGACAGTGTGGGAAACCTCGGAGCGGAGACCCTTGAACAAAATATTCCACCGAATAATGAAACAAACCTGGGTGAAGGGATCGCCTGGTCAGACGGTAACGCTCGAAATGCTCGAAATTTGCCCGTCGCCTCCAGGGCTGAGATCAGGAAGTTTTGGATTTGATCTTCAAGGTCTTCAATTCCCTGCATGGACAGGACATACAGGAGAACGCGCAAGGCCATGGAATTGTGAAGAGTGTGAAAAACTTGTCAAATGAGCGAAATGGAGAAAGTCAACTGCCTGGCAAGTCTGCAAGGTTGCAACTTCTAAGAAATTGGATGCTTCATCTCTCAAACATGGCCCAAGATGATGCCTTCACACCTCCAACATCTTCAAAAACCGCGTTTTCCCGGGCACGGCCGCGCGGCTGGGCGGCCAGGCTTTGGGCGTGGCATACTTCTGCATCATCTGGATGAAGCTCGTCACCTGTTTCGGCGACGGTACCCGACCGACCCCGCGGGGCAGCGGAACGGCGTCCTCTTGAGGAAGGGCTGAGAAGGATGACCGGTCAGCGGCCCATCAAGTGTGGTCATTCAGTTTGTGAAGAAACCGGAAAGGCTGATCAATCAATGAAAGTTGTTTAGGCTTAGCCAGCTCAGAAAGGGGTGACACTCCACTTCGAGTCCACAACCCGCGAACCCGCGCGAAGCCGCGGCCCTTTTTCGGTGGAGGCATAAAGCATCCAGAATCTCGTTGGAGCTAAACTTGAGAGAGGAGGGGGGTGAACGAAAGGTAGCAAGGAATCAGGCGTAATCCGGGAGGAGGTGAGAGGCCCCCCACTTGTTTGAAGAGAAGTGAGTGAGCGTGATGAAAGAAAGACTAATGCACAAACGCTTGACAAAACCTCCAGAAGCTGTAGCGGTCTAGCGGTTTCAATACAGGTTGACGTGCCTTCAAAAGGAGTCACATATTTCTCAAATGCAACTTCGGATTTACATAGTGACGTGCGGCGACCCTGTAAATTGCGTGGCCGCAGGCCATGCTTGCAAACAGGACGTGCTCAAAAACACTGGTATTTACGAGGTTTCGTTGCCGTCGATCCACAGCCGTGGCATGGTCTAAGGCCACGCTTGAAGACAGGAGGAGCTGAAAACACTGGTATTTACGGTATTTTGTAGCCGTCGATCCAAAGGCGCACCACGGTTGAGCGCTGGAAAAGCGCAGAAAACCGTGTAAATACCGGCGTTTTCTGCCGGGAAGGTGCACAAAACCCTGTAAATACCATAGTTTTGTGCAATTTTGAAGCCTCCAAAAGCCTCAAAAACCCTTTCTGACAAAATCTTTCCTGGCTTTTGGTCTTTTTTCGGTCATTTTTCTAACCGAGACGCATCAAAAACCATCGGTTTTTGCGGTGTTTTTTGCCGGACAGCCACAAAAAACGCTGTAAATTCCATGATTTTTGGTCACTGCTGAGGACTGGAAGAGCTGAAAACACTGATATTTACAGTGTTTTCGAACGGTTGACCCCGAGGCGCGCTAGGGTGGAGTTGAAAGGGGGGGGGGGGGGCCCCCCCCCCCCCGGCCAGCAAACGAAGATGTCGGGGACCATTTCTCCGAGAGATAGGCTGCAGCTCTGGGTTAATACATTTTTGCTAAAGCAAAAGGAAAACTCAGGTAGCGTAACCGCTACCTTTCGTGATAAAAGGGGGAACGACCCTCTTCGAGATTCCTTGACACATACCCTGTCCTCTGAGGCACCCCAATTCTGGGAGCGCAGACTTTGAGCCGAGCGGTATTTTCGATGCAAAGGCCACTGACCCCGTTGACCGAGAACGAAGTTCAGGTCCACTGCAGGAACACTGGGCATGGGTCAAAACCGGGAGAACCTGGTTCAGACCCGTGAGTTGCAGAACCGATGCAGAACCCTCAAAAAAGGAAAAACAAGTCCAAGAAAGGGCCACGATTTCAACAGCTCTCTCCCAGGTTTGATCCACACCCACAGGTTGAAGCTTCACGCCACAGGGCATAGGGCCCTGTGAGGTGTCAGCTGCTTTCAGTGCTTGGTGACCCTCTTGTCGCAGGCCTCTCATTCCAATCGGCATTCCAATGTCCATTCCTAACATGAACACACAACGGAATACACAGCGCAGCATACACACACCAAACACGCAACACACATACATTATACAAGCATAGACCCCAAACAGCTTCAAAGCGATTCGTTGAGACCAATATTCGCATAAAAAAATCGATTTCTTGGCACGCCCTACTTTCACCCCAATAGCAAACTGCTTCATCAATGAATTTTTGTCGGCATTGACATCGCTATTTGTTCGGCCACACTCCTCTCCAGTAAGCCGGGGCCACAGAGACCAGCCACAGAGTTCAGGGGCACGGCCAAGACAAGGACAAGAGGAGGACAAGACCCGGACACAGAGCCGGGCCACAGAGTCCAGCCACAGAGTTCAGGGGCGCGGCCAAGACAAGGACAAGAGGAGGACAAGAAGAGGACAAGGCCCAGCCAAAGAGCCCAGCACAGAGGACAAGAGGCGGACAAGAGCCCAGTAAGCCGTCAATAGCACACGAACGCGCGCGCTCGCCCTGCTCTCTTTCTTTCTTTCTCTCTCTCTCTCTCTCTCTCTCTCTCTCTCTGTCTTTCTGTCTTTCTTTCTGTCTTTATTTTTTTCTTTCGTTATTTCTTTCTTTCTGTCGTTCTTTCTTTATTTATCTAGTTATTTCGTTCTTTCTTGCTTTCTTTCTTTCTTTCTGTCTTTTCTGTCTTTTCTGTCTTTTCTTTCTTTGGTTTCTTTCTATCTTTCTTTCTGTCTTTCTTTCTTTCTGTCTTTCTTTCTGTATGTTTTTCTTTCTTTATTTATTTATTTCTGTCTTTCTTTCTTTCTGTCTTTCTTTCTTTCCTTTCTTTCTTTATTTCTTTCTTTATATCTTTCTTTCTGTCTTTCTTTCTTTCCGTTCTTTCTTTCTGTCTTTCTTTCTTTCTTTCTTTCTTTTCTCTCTCTCTCTTTCTCTCGCTCTCTTCTCTTTAAGTTTCTCTTTCTCTGTCTTTCTCTCTGCACAGCGCGCTGTGAGCGCGCCTTTCTGGAGCGTATTTCAGAGCGTGCCAGAGCGCGCCGTCTAAAGCACACGAGCTGTCTCTCTCTCTCTCTCTATCTCTCTCTCTTTTTCTTTCTCTTTAAGTTTCTCTTTCTCTGTCTTTCTCTCTGCAGGGCGCTGTAAGCGCGCCTTTCTGGAGCGTGAGCGCGCCGTCCATAGCACACGAGCACGCGCGCGCTCGCCCTTCTTCCTGTCTTTCTGTCTTTCTGTCCTTTCTTTCTTTCTTTCTTTCTTTCTTTCTTTCTTTCTTTCTTTCTTTCTT